TTTCTTGTGAAGTACTTCTTCATATAATTTGCATATGCAGTTTTGAAATATTTGAAATTTTTCAAATTAATTACAACTATTTTAATAATATGTATATGTGAAAAATAGTACAAATTCCATAAATATTAACGGTAAATATTCCTGTTATTACGAATATTTCTACTAATTAACTTAAATTAAATTAAGTTTGTGGATTAAATTAAATTTTTTATACAAACGCATCAATAAAACTGTTTTATTACTATACTTTCTAAAATTATTTTACAAAAATTATTCTTAATGGAATTATTTTTTAATAAAATTAAGTGATTTTTGAATAATAAAATTTGTGGAAATTGTAAAATACATATTTTCTTTATTTCAAAATATTTTGTTTATGAACATATATTCGTATATCTAATTAAGGAATAACCCAGTTGTGTAGTAAAATTTATTTGCTAATGGTTTCATATATCAACATGCCATATTTCCCTTTTGAGTTTCTCAATATTCAAAACATTTATCCAGTTTATGTAACAATTATTAACAAACCTCAAGAAATACGACCAGTTCCTGGTCGTTGATACTACGTATATAAAAATTATGTTAAAATTTTATTTTGAAATAATTCATAACATTTGTATTTCATCTACCATAGTTTAATAGCAAACAATTTATAACAACAAATTTATGTATTTAACTATAGATAAATTTGTATCCCAATGCATATTTGTATGCAGATGAAATATTTATATCAAGCAAAATACAACAAATGCATTCAGGAGTATGTACTTCTGTTTAACAACAATTAGCAGATATTGCTACAAGTACGACATAACAACAACAACAACAACAACAGCAACAACAACATGCAGCAGATATTGCTGCAGTCCCACTGAGTATATTTACTGGCATACATTGGCATACATTGGTAGACATTGGCTTGTACTGGAACACACAAGTCATTGAAGAGTGCTTCAGTGAGTGTGAGTCAATCCCTTGTGTGTTGTTTAGCTAATTTGTTTCATTTGTCTCTAAACCGACATTTTGCATTTACGCATTTAAGCACAGAAACATACCCAAAGCAGCAGTAACACAGCATGACACACTTACAAATGAGAGTTAACTTATAAAGGATACAATGGAATCGATCTACAAGTACGCCAACCACTTCTACTTGATGTTGTTAAACGTTTGGCTTTAAACACAAACTGAGCCAATGTGTGTTTGTTCGCAGATACTTGTGTAAGAGTACGGATGGTATTTTCATTCAATGTTGATGTAGAATCTTTGTCAGCTGTGTCGCAGTTAAGCGTTTGTATAGTGAAAACACTTGTAATTGAATTGATTACATGCGAATATTTTTCTATATGCATAAAGAAGCATCGTTGCACACACACAGTGAATATCCCAACGATGTCTCTAATTGTCTCCATCATAATGCAAAATTGCTGTTAATTAAGAAGTGCATTATGCGGTGCAATTCAATTAAAAATGTAATATTTTTCTTTCCAACATTTCTTTTTACAAAATGCATTATTGATAACGGAAAAAGGAGAGAATAAATTTGAATTAAAATGTACCAGCATTTAGCAAAAAATAATATTTATATGCAATATTAATATTCCCTGTGGTCAGCATAAAAATTTTAATAGCAAAAATATGCATTTTCATAAAGCAACAAAATTTTTATTTATTGTTTATTGTTTTTATTGAATGTTACGCATACGTCCGGTTGACCAGTTTCATTGTGTGTAAGCGGTTTAAACATATCTTCTGTTTTTGTTTTTGGTAAAAGTTATAAGTAAAAAACAAAAACTAAGGAATATGAAGTCAAGCAAAATTGTTATTATTTGCATTCCTATACAAACATGTGTGTATTCATCGAATAAATGGATTTATTAACACAATTGCATACACCGAACCACAGTTACGGTTGGGAGAAGTGTAGTACATTTTTGCGTTTAATACAACCACACAAAGTACAACTGTACCAATTACTTATGTGTTTTATTATTGTAGTTGCGTATGTAGTTTCCTTCCGTTTGAATTGGTCAACCAGAGAACAAAGAAATCCTTTTATGGGTACACAGAATGCATGAGAAACTCCACACATACACATACTTGCTCAAATACAAATATGCATAACAAGATTACAGTTATAGGAAAGGAAATTGTATATTCATACTTATAGTGCGTACTCGTGTACTAGTACGTTCTTGTTGCTAGTTGTTAGTTGCTAGTTATTAGTTGTGTTGCGGTACAGTTAAAGATGGAAATATGAGTTAAAGAATATATACTTCTTAAAATTGTGAACGAAAATTGTTTGAGAAGCATAAAGTATGTATTTTGGTTATATAGTTTACTGTGTTTTCAATTTAATTTTTATATTTATAAAATTTTCTAAAACAAGTTGACCCAAATTGGACCGAAATTTAACAATTAATCTTAATTATACAAATTATAATTATGATTAATTTATTATATAAACTTTAAGTAATTAATACAATTAATCTATAACTGGTTTATAATTTCGTTCTAAAATAACATGAAAAAGAATTTCTAAATAAACCATCACAGCAAATTCATAAAAACTCTAAGTTAGAATATACAGATTCAGTACAGCTTTAGTTGAGTTGGTTTATTTACACTGACTCTGAACTTTAAATTTGGCAGGGTATACGTTTAAGTCTTACAGTCTTAAAAATTGTTTGTTTATTTTCAACTACTACTGTTGAGACTACTGATGATAGCTATTTGGTAATAGTCGAAACAGAAAATTTAATTAATTAAAAATAAGACTTCTGTTGTTGTAGTTTACTATTGTTCGACAAACTTTTCTAAGATGACCACATTTTTGAGTGTTGATACTTGAAAAATATCTAATCTTCAGCCTAAAAAAATTATTAAAATTATAAAGCATATGAAAGCTGTACTTGCACTTTATCTCAACATACAAAATCAAGTGCAAAATATTGAGTTTAGATAAATTAAGAATAGTGGTATACACCACATTATTTTATAAGCAGTAGGATGAAATTTGCTTTTAATTCAAAAACTGTGTAACGAAATTATACACTTTCATATATATAGTTATATATGCTGGTACTTTTCGTGGCTTTATTTGTAATCGCAAAATAAATTATTTTTTCTTATATATAATTATAATTATTATTTTATATTTAAATAAACTAACCATTGTTAGTTGTGTAGGTCTGTTTCAACCTATTTGTTTATTCTTTCATTTTTTTAAAACTCATTCTCATACAACAAAACTGATATTCAATCATCTTCCATTTACTTTTTTTTAGATTTCTTTACTTCTTCTCATAACTTCTACACTAACTTCTCTTATTAAATTATAAATTTTACCTTTTCTTCATCAATTTCTCTATCATCTTTACAATCTTTCTAAAATTTTACTACTCACGTTTCTTCTTAAAGTTGGTTCTTTCTTCTTTATTTCATTGAAAAACTGTCAAGCTGCTCTGAATAGTTTTGTCTTCTCTCTCTACTTCTGTCATTGGTTAGTCTTAAAACAAAATGTTCCAGTCTTCGAGTTTACAGTAGACGGTCTTCAAGATCTGTAAGTTTCTGTCTCTTATTGGTTTACATGATTAATGTGTCTTGATTATGTTTCATTAACACATGACAACTATAACTATAATCGACATCTTATTTATTCATCAATTATCAAATCCTACAGTTTTATATAACGTACTCCACATTTAGTATTGTTTCTTGTGATGAAGAGGTTAAGTAGTTTACGCACTGTCAGACCAACCTCCGTTAAAATGACTCTCTAATACTTAGTACTGTAGGTCACTGCAGTTTGCATAAAATTTCTAAAAATTATATAAATATATCAAAAATCAGTTCTTGTTATCTTTTTGATATTAAAATTTCAGTTGTATTTATAATAGTTCTTTGAATTCTCAACTTAAGAGTTCATGAAACAATCACCGTCAGATGGTTGCATTTCTCCTAAATTTATGCATGTAGTTTATTTTGTATCATCTATTATGGTAATATATATATATTTACTTTTCTTACTGTTCTTTATTTAAATTTTGATTAATTACTTCTTTTACAACTCATAGTTAGATTTTCGTTTCTAATTTATTTCAACTTGTCAGTTTGCAAATAAAAACTGTTAAATATTTATTGAATTAAAATGAAAATTCTATTATATTAAAAGGTGAAAGTATTTAAATAACAATTTCCGATGAAAATTCTAAACTCCATTTGCTACTTTCTTACAAAGTCAATATAACAATACAACATCTATAATGCGATCTTCACTACGCTTACACGTATCAATGAAAGTATTTTCGGTTGATGGCTTTCATTACTTATGCATTTTCATGTGATTCTGGAATAGTTCACCATTTAGAGTTTTGCAAGCGATACGCACGTAAACAACAAGTTACAAATGCCATACACTTGACTATATCAGCACTAATACTTTCCCTATTCGAACTTTTCGAAAACATTTCGTAGATACAATATACACACTCCAACTATGAACTTCGTCTTCTTATTTCCTTGTGTACTGCTACTCTATTTCGGCATAATTTACTCGTTTGTGTATTTGGCTTAAATTGAGCTACAATAATAAGAAATTTTGTTTATAAATTCCGTATGCATTTTACACGCATTTAAGGATTAACAAAATTGTATTTATTTATGTATTCTCACACTTTACACAAACTCAAACCTACAGAATTGTAAGTTTCAACATTTCTTCCACTTTTGGATTTTCCCAGCATTATTGCTCCTATGCTTTGTTATTCCTAGTTAGTCAAGTAACATCTATAGTCGTTCGCATCCTTGTGTGTCGAAAGGCACATACGAGTACATTGTTTAGTGACTTGTATGCGTTCGCATAGAAAAGTTTTATGAGAATTTGTTTTTGTTTTAATGTGGAAAGACTAAATTAAGCTTCGCACTTGCAATTTACAGATTTACCTTCTGAAATATTATTAAGGTAATATATGAAAGATTTGTTGTTTTACTTGCAGATACAAATATTTGGCTACAATTATGAGTTATATACAAACTTTTCGGATGCTTTAAGTCGGGCGCAAGGCATTGTGGGTATATCTATTTTATTGCAGGTAAGAATGCAAAAATGTTCTTTCTGATTAAATAAAAAGAAAAAAAAGTTTTCTATATATAATTTTATATTGATCACTAAGATATATAATAACTCTCTTCTGAAGAGCTCAGTTCGTATAATATATAATGTATATTTCCATAAATTAGATACTTAAGTGTGTTGGAATAGAGTTTCCTTCGGCAACTTCCTTAAATTTCTCTAAATACTTGTATTTGTCATATTTTTAGCTTGGCGACTTATCAAATCCCGAATTACGTATGCTCACCGATCAACTGGATCGTATACGTTTTGGTGGTGATGAAGCATTGGTCAAACGTTTATCCATACGAAACTTATTACCTGACACAGATCATTATATGACTTATGAAGGCTCAACTACAGCTCCTGCCTGCCATGAAACAGTCACATGGATTGTACTAAATAGACCTATTTATATAACAAAGCAACAGGTAAGTTCAGTGAAATATCAGTTTATTAGTTTTATAGTTTCGTAAGGATGACATATTATAAATGACTTAAATTTAAATTCTTTTTGAATCCATTTACACATCTAAACTTTAATATAAATTTTAATAAAATGGAACGATTTTAATCGAAAATTTGAATCATAACATCACTCATGACTCAACACCATCAGATATTGTTATTTTTGTTAATTTTAACTGATTTCTAAATTAACTCAACACTATCTGTTATCTTATTTTTTATCGGTTGAAATCATTTTAATTAGTTATCACAAGATATAAACTTAATCAATTAAGTTGTTAAAGGCCTCGTAAAAGTCAAATCACAACTTTGTAGTATGTAACAAATGTGCTACGTCTAAAAGCACTTTAATTCTTTCTAAATGAGTAATCTCAAAGGATTTGCAATCTCAGCCAAACAACAAGGAACACACAAAAGTAATGACTGCGACTGTGATGATGTCGACTAGCAGCCAAGTGACAAGTCTGTTGACATGTTAGGTTGAAGGGTCATTTGTTTTCCTTTTTTGCTTTGTGTGTTTAGTATGCTTTTATGACAGGGCTGGAATAAGCTAATAAGGTGCAAAATAGACAGATAAGAAACTTTAATGTTTTTATAATTTTGGACCACTTTAAATGATACATACTCTTGAACGCCATATAGTTACATTTTTCTGGCATATTAAAGTCATAATAATTGAATTAAAAAAAGATTTATATATTCATTAACTTTCTGAAATTTATATATAATTGCTTAATTATTAATGTATCTCTTTACCATCATAGCATATATTTTTCTCCCTCGAAAGGGTACTTGAATACTAACAATGTTCGTTAGTTGCTATGGAAATATGTATAAGTATATATGAAATTAAATTATCGTGTACGAGGTAGAGATATGAAACCCTTAATATGGTTTAAATATATTTTCATTAGTCAAGCAATTTTATAAACGTCGATTTTGCCGAATTGCTACTTTAATAGAAATATTCAAATGAATTTTAGCTAACATGAAACAATTTAACTAATGAAACTAAAGGATATTGCATTACAAAGCAAATCCCTGTGAATATTTATATAATTAAGCTGATGGAAGAGAACATGATATAAAAAAATTTGATGGAGAAGAATAATATTTTTAATAATAATTAATAATATTTTTATGCAGTATTTTAGTAGTATATCGAATAATGAAACTAAAGAAATTTATAAAAAATAAAATTTGTAGCAATTTATTGAATTTCTTGTCTTGACGATTAGATATGACCTATTCAATTCATCAGATTTCAAATTCGAATGGAAAGTATCTATGCTAAACAATGTTAGCTTTGTTAATTAGTTTTCAATTTAAATAAGCAGTCTTAGCAATTACTTATATCTTGCAGTAGTTGAGACAAAAATATAAATATATTTATATTCTATATTAATTTATTCTATATTAAATAAAGAGTAAAGAGAAAAAAGGATCTATTTTAAAAAGATCTATTAGGAGTGCCCTGGCAGTTGAAAGTTTAACTAATTTTAATCATATGCTTTAGTATAATAAATATGTTCCTGATCTTGAATAAGGATTCACTTTAAATATAGAGCAAAGTGAAAAAGTGCTACTTTAGGAGCTCTTTTAGAGCATTGTAAATAGAGAGCTGTTTTAGCAACTTTTTTAGGAGTGTTCTAGGAGCTTAAAGTTGCAGTAATTTTAATTATATATTATAATATAGTATGAGTATTTATGATTTCGAGTAGCAGGCTCGGTCATCAAGTATTACAGTAATTATTTAAATTGCCAACAACAAAATGCCCGATTTGGAAATATATTTGATTGTCGCTTTGCACTGTTGCTATGTAATTCGATTATCTAGTTCGTTACACGTTATCGTGAATACTCCTAATCTGGTTTTTTCTAAAACATAAAAATATTAAAATAATTTTTTATTACTTTTCACAATGAAATCCGCAACTGTTCATATTTAAACATTTAAGTGACATGATACGCATTTGTGTTGTTTGTTGTTTGTGTACAAAGAAATGTAAGACACCCTACGAAAGTAGGAATGTAATCGGGTAAACCGGAAATGAAGCTTTTTTGTGTGTGTTTGTGTGTTTTGTGTTTGTATTGTGCGCTTTGTTTACTTTAGTGCGTTCAAGCAAATAAGTGGGTTTGTCGTATTTTCATTGTGGGGCTATATATTTTTTTTTTCAAAAAGGCACATTTCTCATCATTTCACTATTTAATTTAATTAATTATTAACAGTGTGCTTTACGCCTAAATGACATGACTCCTTTTGTTAAACAGCTTTATTAAAAGGAGTTCATAACCAGTATGTTCATTATATTTAAAATCAAGGTTTGAAAATGTAAATAATATTTAATATATTACAATTAAATGTACAAATTTAAACCTTAAAATTTTTAATAATACTCAGTATGTTTACTACTTTTTTATTAAATTTTTCCTAAATTTATAAGTCAACTAAAATATGAACGCAACTGTTAATTGAGTGTGACGTTTACATTGCTTAGCAAGGCTTTCCGCACTTGCAGCGCCCGTTTCAACGAGTTCAATGATACCCAAGGGAGTTATCATCACAATGCACACATATAAAGCATTCAGCGCCATGATTCGCATACAAGATTCATTCATAGTCATAGAAGCTGCCACAGCTGCAGCACAAAGCAGACATTAAAGTACAAACACATTGGAGACATGTTCCATGAAAATTTCGTCTGCTTTTAACGAGCGTTGCACCTTGCTGGAAAGCGAATTTCGCCAAATTAAAGCAACTTAATTGTTGCAAAAAAGGCATTAAAAAGTTAATGTTTGCATAAAAAAGTGTTCACAAAATTGAGCGTTCCACCAGAAAACTCAAACAAAGTGCAAATAAAACTAAATTATAATAGGTAAAAAAATATCTATACGTTAATGGAGGAGAGTGATATTACGAGTATTTATATACAATATATTAAGGAATATATTAAAAGTTTGAAATGAACTAAGGTGTAGCAATAATTTATAAAATAAGTATAAAAAAAACTTATAAAATAAAGCAGAAAAAGCTTACAATAATATAACAATAAAATAATAATAATATTCATAAAATAATATTTTTTTGGATAGTTTTGTAAATATCTGTTAACAGAAGTATTGATTTACATAGTTATATTAAGATTTTATATCTTACTCGGAAAGTGCTCTTTATTGTAATAGAAACTCTTAAAAACTTAATAATAGTATTCCAAAAAAATAAAAAAAAACAAACATGTGGACATAGTCGGATTCTAGGTTAGATCTGTCTATCTATGAAGACATCGGTTTATCTGAATCCATGCATAATCTTCGAAAGGAATTTTCAGACAATATTCTCTTCAAGAAATGAATGGAAAACGAAAAATTTCGAAGCAAAGTACGATATCTCAATACAGATGGCTCAAAAATGAACTGTGGGGCAGGAGTAGGGATCTTTGTACCTGCTGAAAATATAAATAATTCTCTTAGGCCACCTAATGAGGCTACGGTATTTCAGGTTAAAATCCAAGCAATAAGAGAAGACTGTCAGAAAATTGCAAGTCACATCGAGGACAGATATATTGTTGCCATTTTTATTGAAAGCCAGGCAGCAATCAAACCCATTAAATCTTTCATAAAAGAATGAAAGATAGTTAAGGAATGTAGAGAAGCAATCGACAAGCTAAATCGGTTGGCTGATATCACCCTCATCTGGGTTCTTGGACATAGGAAAAAATATTAGAGAACGACAAACGAGATGTGTCACTTACAGTAACGGTTTATATTAGACCATTAAGAGATGTATCTTCCTCTACTTTCTGCAATTTGCCAATAATAGATAGAAATCACTTAGGTAATGTGCGACTTCCATGTTAATATGGCCTTCCTATAATAAAAATAACTCTTCGAAACTCATTAAAAGAAAAGAAAGCTTACTGCAGTTCTTACTGCAGGTCATTGGCGTGTAGGAATTCATCCAGAGAAACTGCGACTTCCTTACAACTCTCACTGCAGAAGTTGTTTAAACCTGCAGGAGAGAGAAATCTTTGGCTTCCAGAAGATATAGGTTCTTAGGAAAATACTTCTTTGATAGTTTATCAGACTGTTCATTGGTGAAGACGAAAGACCTATTAAATTACCTTAATTCGGCGGGTTGGATTTAGTCTCTACTCTTCTATACTAGGGTTCTTGCGAGGAATGTGGTAGCAAAATGGCGAAAAATCGCTAATTGAGGTACATGGAAGTTGTCTAATGGCCTGCCACTGCAACCAACCATTCCAAAAAACGAGCAAATATAGGTTGCAGTATATTAACTGGCTTTATTAAAGAAAAACTGTGAGCATATAATACAAAACAGTACCAATTCGATTTAAAATCCAGAAAAGTAAAGCAAACTCAAGTACAGCAAAGTAGAAACAGTAAAGCGGAAACAACACCGGCAATTACTTCCTCTTACCGACTGATTTGTTTGTGCAAGTTTATTTTTTCAAGCTGAAAATCTTCTAACATACATATAAGGTTCACTGTATGAGTTCGGTTTCATTACCGGATGTGGATTGAGATATGGATGCTGATATAAAAACTGATACCATCGTGTCGATAGACAAAGTCATTAACGTTAATTGTTGGAATGACACCTGCACTAAAACTTAAAGCTCTCCGCGGTTCAAGCTTTAAAATAATGCAAGCAATAAAAACACAGCATCCATACATCCACATTCGGGGCATACAAACTTATACATTGACACGTGAGCAGGAGACCGGAAATGTGTGCATTGAATGTATTAACACCGATTAACTGCGCTTAAAACATGAACTCCGCACATACATGACGACTCGCCGCGTTTACGAGTTTGTGTTGTTGCAGTGCTTCTACTTATTCATACACTGACGCCAAGGCAGTCGTGCCGCTTATTAAGTGGCTACGTGTGTATACAGTATACTACAAGGTTATATGATGTCTGACTGTGTGTGTGTGTGT